TTAGCAACTCAGGGAGACCCTGTCTCAAAATGAAATATATTTTGGGGATGTATCTCAGTGTTAAAAGCCCCTGGGTTCATCCCCTGTTACCCACCCCACAAAAAAATAAAAAAAGGCAAAACTTGATTGGGAAGGGAGGAATAAAGAGGTAGAGGACAAAGGAACAAAGGGCCATGAAGGGCGGTGCATGTCATTCGACCTTGGACCCAATCTACAGAATGCTCAACACCATGCACTAACACTAAGGGCCACTTGGCGCTCTGGGTGACGTTGACTTGTCGATGCAGGTCCGTCAAGTGTAACAAATGCATTATTCTGGTGGATAAGCTGATAGTGGGGATCTGTGGGAGATGGGGAACATGGGAATTCTGTACTTCTGCTCGTTTTGTTGTGAGCTTAAAATTGCTCTAAAAAAAGTCTGAATTTTTTTTTTTTTTTTTTTTTTTTTTTTAGAAAACCTCTTAGAAGAGAAGTCAATGGGACCAAAAATTCAGCTTCCTTATTAGAGAAAATGGACCTGAAGGGCTTTCTCAAGGGACTCACATATAAAGAAATATCATTCTCAAGTGCCCATATTGACCAGAGTGTCACCTCCTCTTTTACTAACTTGTGTGTTTGTGTAGGCCTGTACATACTCACACACACACACACACACACACACACACGGAGTATTTTCTCCTGTGATGCTCAGAAGCACTGCAGTTAACTGGTGGGACATTAACAGGGGCTCTAGGGCTTAGTCACCTTCAGATCCCTCCAGCCCAGTTTTCCTCCCTGGGTCCTACACACCCATTACCCATTCTTTAGCTTGCTGACCACATGATGTGATAGGCATAGATCAAGTCAAGTCTCAGCTCTACCAAGAAGATGCACAAGGCCTTGACTGTCCCCTAGCATCCCCAGGCCCTGGTGACAGCCTGCTGGATCCTGAACTTTCCTATGAAGCTTTTGAGGAACAAGGACTCTCTTATTCTGACTCTGAGGTTTGCAACATGAAGGTGGGCATTCTTTTCTTTTTTGTTTATGAGCCTTAAAAAAAAGGAATATTCATTTTTTAGTTGTAGTTGGACACAATATCCTTATTTAATTTATTTATTTATGTGTGGTGCTGAGGATCCACCCAGGACTGAGCTTGGGCTAGGCGAGCTCTCTACCACTGAGCCCCAAGGGTGGACATTCTTGATTACTAGTTGGTGCTCATAGGCCCTGGCTTCTGAGTCAGTCTCCAATTTGGGGTCCTGAGGCCACTTCCTCGTGCTTTCTCCTGCCTACCTTACCTTCTGCTGCCGTGGCTACATTTTCCTTTTCTAGCATAAAGCTACTGTACCTAACAGAAACTGCTTTTGTATTTCAGTTTCCTCTGAATTTTAAGTTAAAATGGAAAAAAAAAAACTAGATCCTAGGAAAACTGTGATATTATTCAGTGTGAACTCTGTTCTTATTGTCTAAAGCTACCAAAGTGGGTCCCAAACCCTCCTGATTGTAATTATTATCGTGGCCCACACACTCTCACCCATATGAAACAGTAAAAACAGACGCTGATAAACCACCCAACACTTATGTTGAGAAATTAATTGGATAAATATTTTAAATCAGGATATGCCACAGATTCAACTTCTCTTATGGAAAAGAATATCTGATTAGACTGTGAAAACTTCTTATTATTTCACTAGACCTCTGCAGATTGATACCAGGGACTATAAAAAAAAATTGATTCTCTTCGCCATTTTGATTCTTTGAAAAATATCTGGGGTTCCTTGGGGACATGATTGTAGTACTCAATCAATAAAGTCACGTTCTTTCAAAGGGCTAATGACTGGGACCACATGACAATTTCTCATAACTGACAATGCAGTTTTGAAATGGTTCTTGCATAGATTAGGATCTAGGCTGGCTTTATTATCTGGTTAATGAAAAATCCTAGCACCCATTCCCGTTCTTCCAAGAAGCCCATTCTGAGTGCTTCCTTTGAACTGCCTTGGCACTTTTTCTCTGGCACTTGCCCTATTTAGCTCATATTTATCCCTGTCTCAACATTGTAAACCCTTTGTGTACAGAAACTGCCCCAATGTTCCCTTGATCCTTTCCAGGCCAAGCCCAGTCTGACTCATGGCAACCCTTCAACAACTGTCAGTCAAAAGAACCAAACTGTCATGCACCGAATGAACTGGAGGTAGACCTTCCTCTGCAACTCCCCTCTAGATCTGAGGTCCCTCTGGGGACCCTGTGGTCTATGGTCTTAAAGTGAGAGGTCTCCTTCCTACTGGGTGGGATTAGCACTAGCAGATGGGCTGGAGTTTGGAAAGCACACAACAACCGCCTACACATCAGCTCTGTGAGAAATAGGCAAAAACTGCATTACTGGACAATAGATTGAAAACAGGACATAGGAAAAATACTTGTTGCACTGCAAAATTATTTGATGCACCATTTCAGAGATCCTTTAGTGACTGTTTAAGTTCCTTAAGGGAGAAGGAGAGGCAGTTGGAATCTCTTTCAAAGCAAAGAAGGAGGAGGAGGAGGAGGAGGAGGAGGAGGAGGAGGAGGAGGAGGAAGGTGGCTCTAAATTCATTAAATTCTCTTACACAACCTCATCCTTTAGCCAATGATGATCATAGCCCTGCTTTGAGGGCAGGGTCAAACCTGCTCGCCTGAAGGAGAGGAGGATGGGGGGGAACATAAAGGAGAATAAAATAAAAATTTCTTTTAAAAATGTTTTTCTCCTTTTGGAAAGGGAGGAACTTCAACTCCTGATGTGGCCAAATGCCTCTTCTTTCTTGAAAAGCCCTCCAAGTCAGAGCAAGCCCAAGAATAACGGCGGCTCTTAGGATGCTCAAAGCTCTTTACAGCTGATTATTTTTCAGGAGGAGAATTAGACAAAAATAATACAAGTGGGAAATAAAGAGAATGACCTACTTTACAGGGGGGAAAAAGGAGCTCTGTGTGAGCGTTTTGATCTAATTGACGGTGTGGGGTTGCATGCCCAAATAAGGCGCTCTGGTCGGGTCTGCGCGGGAGAGGGCCTGCGGAGCTCAGGAGCCTGGGAGAAAGCTAGGCCTTGGAACCGCGTGGGGGCACCCTCCTCGTCCCCTGCAGGGGCTGACTCTGGACAAGGGCCTTAGGAGACCCCCTGGCCACTAAATAGAGTATGACCAAAATAAAAGAGAGGGGGGCAAGAGGTAGAGGAGGGCGCTTTCTTTTCCAGGGTCCCTTGTCAGGATGTGTAAGCGACAGAGGGACGTCCCAGAGCGCGGCGCCAGGAAATGTACCTAAGTGATGTCAGGGAGGGGGTAACCTTTGTGGCAGGGGGCGGAGATTTCTTCCCTCCTGGGGCTTCTACCCAGGTGCCAGCTGTGGTCGCCGCCTCAGGGCAGGGGCGGAGGAGGCTGCGAGTTTAGGGGAAATCCGCCACCGTTCCGGACCTCGGCTGGGCGCGCTGTCCCCCTTCTCACCCCACTCGCTCTCGGAGCCCCGCAGAGTAGCGAACAGCAGCTCCCGGCTCCTGGGGGCTCCGTGCACGCAACCGTTTCGGCTCGGTGTCTGCCTGAGCTTGGTAAAAAGCCTCCCTGTTTTCTCGCGCGCGTTGCTGCCTCTCCAGCTTCTCTTTTTCTTGGATTCTCGCCTGTCTCCTCCCACAGAGGAAAAAAAAAAAAAAAGGTCACGTATGTTTGGAAAAATATGTAGGTCAGTGGAACATTTCCTGCACTGGTGCAAAAGGAGAGGAGGGCAGCGGGGGAGGGGAGGGAGAGGCAAAGCCGGGCTCCGAGTGCGCGCTCCTGGCCGCAGCCCCCACCCCACTCGCCTCTGCCGGCCAAGTGGGGACAATTAGCTGGTTCCTTGCCATCCTTGACCCATTTTCCGGACGGGCTACGTTTGTCTTGGAAGAGGCACTCATTATTTCTCTCCAGCAGCTACTGCTGACCTCAAGTGGACAGTGTTCACCCACATTTCTCTGGGCCCCCACCTCCCACTTGCCCCCGCCCGCACTCCCGCCGCTCCAGGAGACTATCGTGGTGGTCCCCGCAGTGATGCGCCCGGTGCCCTGGGGTCGGGGACTTCCTACAGCCCAGCTCCTCGAGATCAGCGTGGAGGGGGTGACTGTCGCGTGCTCGCTACCCCCCACCCCGACGTGGGACAGCAGGATGGCTGTAGGAGCTATGAGGGTCTGCAGTAAGCGGGGACGAAAGAGTCCTTGCTGCCCCCAGTGACAACTTTAACGGGACCTCGCCTGGCAGGTCCGCAGCTGCTGGCTTCCCCTGTCCAGGGTTCACCTCCAAGCACAACGCCCCCTTCACCGATCCTAGTCCCGACCCCGCGCTCCAGGCAGGACCGAGCCGAGGGTCCTTTGCGGCACCGCAGGGCCGGCGGCTGCCTGGGGGCGCGCGGGTGTCTACACCGCCCAGGGAAGCCGGGGGTCTTGGGGTCGGTCTGCCTTCGGCACGCGCCGGGTGCGCGTCCCAGGCTGGGTCTCGGCCAGGAGAGACCCCGCCGGTGGCGACAGCACAGCGAAGGAGGCGGAGGAGGAGGAAGAGGAGGAGGAGAAGGAGGAGGTGGGAGGGAGCAGGGAGGGGGAGCGGCGGCGGCGGCGGCGGCGGCTGTCCCCGCCGGCTCTGCGCACGGAAGAGTTTGCCGCGCGAGCTGCCGGCCTCCCGCAGGAGCCCAGGGACCCGCTCGGCGGCGGCCCAGGAGCGGCGGCCGCGCAGCTTGGAGACCCGCGGCAGCGGCGGCGGCGGCGGCAGCGAGAGCAGCGCCTCCCGCCGCCGCCCGGGAGGAGCTCGCCGCGCCCGCTCGCCGCCTCGGCTCCCAGCGGCGGCGGGAGGCGCGTCTTCCCGGCCCAGTCCGAGTCCGGCCCCGCGGGGCCGCCCCGGCCCTCTCGGAGGTAAGGGGCTGCCGCTGAGAGCGCGGGGTCCTGCGGTGGGAGTACGTGCGCGTGGGTCGCAGGACTCAGTCACCTGCTCACCAGCGCGGGGGACGCGCGGGCCCGGGAGGGGCGCTCCGGCGCGAGACTGCGCGAGGCTGCGCAGCGCCGGGGACCCAGGGCGCCGGGAGGTGGGTTCCCCTTCGCACACACAATTCCAGCCGCCCCGAGCATCGCGTCCTGCTGGACGACAGTGACAACCCAGATGGTGGGCTGCGGGCGCGTCTCGCTGCGGGAGGCAGAGGACTAGGCGCCCCAAACCTCAGAATTTGGGGGAAGGGGTCTTAAGAGGGTAGATCATGGTGGGTAGGGGCCGGGTCTCCGGAGGGCAGATTTGAAGATTGCGCGCTGCCCTCCCAGAGCCGCATCTCGAGGTCCCTTAAGCTTGGGGAGCCCGGGACCCCTGGAGAGTGCGGCGTGCGCGCCCCAGGCAGGGGCTGGCAGTGTCCCCCGGTCCCTGGATCGGGATTGGTTCTGGGTTGGATTGGGTACCGGGTCCTGTGAGCTTGGAGGGCGAGTCGTCTGGCGGCCGGGAGCGCCCCAGCTTGGATGCCAGCGTGTTGCTTTGTGGGGAGGTGTGCCCCCTCCCCGAGCAGAGGAGGTGCGCACCTTTGACCTTTCTGAGGAGCCACGCTGGGTGGGGAACCTGAGGAAGGAACAAGTACCAAGGGGCTAAATTCAAACCAGCCTCATTTCTCGGCCTGCCACTCCTTAACTGCTCAAGGTAAGAAAGTTTGTTTTCATCCCTGTGATTCATAAATAATTAGTAACCAGTTTTGTTGATTAAGCAAGATGGAAACCTAAAATATACACAGGAACTCCCACTAAGTCTTAAAACCTCTCTTCAGTTCTGAAAGTTAAAATCTGCCCTGGCGTTCAACAGGTGTTCAGGAGGGGTCCTAGAGGGGAGAACTGCAGCGTTTCCTCTTTACCGGTTGCTTTGGTATCCGCCCCAGGATCCTTAAAGTGGTTAGCCTGTTGCTTTACAGGTAAAATACTGAGTGGTTATTAAATTACTTAATCAGCGGAGGCGAGCTAGTCGGTCAGAATCATTAGAGCCCAAACCTTCTTTTCCTTAATAGGAGGGGTTTTCCTATTTGGACTTCCCAGGAAATTAATTCTGAACCAGTTACTGGCCAATCTCAGCTCTGTCAACACCTCTGTCTCTTTCACAGCAACCAAAGTCCCCATCCGGTGAACTGACCAACTAATTATGGCTTGCATTAAAAAGAGAGCTGCCTTGCTTGGAAGGCACCCTTCAAATTCAAGGGCACATACTAGCTCTATCTTTCTGCTGCTCAGATTTCCTTAAAGGAAAACGTTTGCCAAAGATAACCCCCCCCCAATTTATTTTTAAAATAATCCTCAAATAAATATAAGTGTAATGTTGAAGAGTTTCTCTGACCTGGGCCACTATGTTACAAAAGCGAAAATTCAGTGTTTCCTTTCAGCTCAACCAGGACCAGTAGAAGTGGCAGTCTAGTAAAAGATTTAAAAATAAAGTGTGCAACATAAAGACGTTCAGTAATTATCTTCCATCTTACAAAGAAATGTGGAATGTGGCTTAGAAGAATTGTAAATGTGCTGTGTTTAGCCATTTTCTTCTCAGAAATCGATGCCTCTATTTATTTTCGGATCTGTCCCACTGTGCACAAATATAGGAAGGGTTTTATTCTTACTACTCCCCAGAGAGACTCCCATGGAGGTGAAAGAAGGGAGTACACTCTAGAGGAAATATGTTATTAATAAAACACCCTCCCCCCCCCAGTGAAGCATGCCAAGAAAAGAACCAAGTGAGACTTTACTAATTAGTGTGATGAAAAATAAATTCCTGGGTAGGATAAGAGAGTATTCAGATGGTAACTGAAAAATTGATCTTTATGTAGAAAAGCCTTGTTTTCAAGTTCATTTGTTTTTGTTTTTAAATTTGGACCCTGTTTTATATTTCTGGCTCTCTAATTATGAAAGTGATTTAAAAATAATGAAAATGATAAATAACACACATCATTAACAAGTTGAATCCATCTTATATTTTGTATAGTCATTTTTAGTTCTTGGAACCTTTATAGCTCATTCTTAACACTTACTTGTTCTGAAGTGAGAGATTCAAAGTTCTTGAATGTCTTAAGATTAAAATAATGTGTGTATGTACTTTTTGTATCTCCATCTTTAGGTTGTTTTCTTCAGTCTTGCTTTTGATCCTTAAAAGCCAAAGGGCTGTCTTTTTTCTTAGTTTTTAAAACAAATATGTGCCTTCTTCCTGACATGAATGGCCAGTTCTTCCAACCCAATGGAGATACTGACTGTCCCATGCTGATACCAGGCACACTGTGACATCTTTCCCAAGACAGGTCAGACTGCAAGGTGTTGAAAATAGCTTGGTGACTCAGTATTCCTGGCTGTTTTATGCCAATAGTTTAATTGGCTGCATCATAGCACACATCTAATTGAGTTTCGCATTTAAATAGCGAAAATGGTACTTGATGCACTATTTACTTACAGAAATGTTTGAGTAGCATGTTCCTGGTCCTCGTTCTATTTGTAGCAAAGACAAGAGGTCAGGGACTGTCACATTCATATCTCATCTCTTCATCTCATCCCTTTGAAGTCTTCTTCATAATAGATGCTCAATAAATAAGTGTGGGAAATGAGCTGAATTGTTGGTAAGCACTATCCAAAGGTTAGAAATTTCTGAATGCTAATGGAGTACTTAACTGTGAGTAATCCTATTTAAACCTGATGATTAATAGTACCTTAGAGAACTAAATAAGCATTTATTAAATATGAGCATATGTTTAAAAGGGGAATTTTTCCTGCAGTCTTTAAGGCACGACTGCTTCTAATTTGAGTTCTTCGACTGAAATTAGGGACGGCTTGGTATTTTAGGCAAAGTCATTTCTCTGGTAAATTTTCCCCAAACACCACTTGAACTTTTGCCGCTCTTAATATGTAGTTCCATTTGATGATGTAGAATAAAAAGGAGAGAGCGTGCCCCTACACGGGTATGGAGTAAACACCATGGAAAGGGGTGAGGGGCGTGGGGAAGCACAGTGCCCCTGAATCACCAGGGCCCTTGTTTAATGCACCCTGAATCCAGGAGTTCTGGGCTGGGGTCTGGGCTCCTGCAGTTCTCACCTGAATTGCAGTATGGAAGTTGATCTGATGCAAACTAGAATGAGTCCACATCTTCCAGGTGCCGCAGCCCAGTAGGGGTCTGGGATACACTTAATCCAATCCAGCACACATTTATGGGGCATGTATCACATAGCAGTCCCCGATGTCCCAAAATAAAGATGGGTCATGTCTGCCCCTGGGGAGATGACAAGATGGAAGAGAGGGAGAGAGATTGATTGATTATTTTTAGACTGGAAAAGAGGTCCTGGGATGCCCCACTGCAGGGTGGTGGCCAGGGAGGAGTCAGGGAGAGGGGATTTCCTGGGAGGACTCCATATTGCTGACCTGTTGTGTATGAATACAGAGCTTTGTGAGTTAGCAGGAAATAAAGCACAGATTTTTAAGTCAGACAGATTTGGAGAAGATGCCCCGCTCAGCTGTTCTGTGACTTGGAATCACTTTTTAACTTTTCTGAACCTAAGCATCCTTCTAAGAAAAATAGTGCTAAGGATGCTGACCTAGCCAGGTTTCCAGGATTGTGGGTAAAGGGTAAATGTCAGGCCTAGCCAAAGCGATGGCTTTTATGGTCCTACAGAAGAGAGGGAGCTAGACAACAAGGAGGAGGAAGCATTTCCTTACATGTTTTTCCACGTAGATCACCAATCAGAGATTCCATTTTGTTGACCCACGAATTCAGGGCAGGCGGTAGGGAACCGGGCAGGTAGGGCTGCCAAGCAGCCAAGTATGGAAGTTAATCCAGATGCAAACTAGAACGAGTGGGAGCTGCTCACCTCTCCTTCTGCCCCAGCCCCCTAGCTTGTGGTTAGCTTCCTTGATGGCCCATCCAGGATTATATTCATCTGAGTCTATGCCTGGTACCTGTCCTGTAGGTTCCACTGAAGAGACCAGTGCCTGGGTCCTCATGCACTCCTTAAAAATACTGTGCAGAGGGAAAGGCAAGCCCCTCTCCACTTGGAATGACATCAGTCCATTCCCTGGTTGGGCACTTGTAAGAATTAAAGCCATCAATCCGTTCTTCTTACTTTAGTATAAGTTCCCCATCAAAGTCCCATCTAAAGGTAAGCTGGCAAGTCTGTGTGATTTTCCCTGCCTCTACTGAACCAAAAATGTCACAGTTACAGTCTCACAGAGAATTTTTTATGCCCATCGATGGTCAAAATATTCAGTGCGGAAGATGATTTTCAAAATCACTGGGGTTTTTGTTTGTTTTTCAAAGTGCATCTCATAGTGTTTGGGAAAGACAGAAAATAATTTTAAAAATGAAGACTGCCCGATATTTTGAAGTGTATTTCTTCGTCTCCCTTCTAGGTATTAAACTATTTTTATATTGGATTTTACAAAATGCATGGGTGTGATCTTACATAAATTTTCAGATAACACAGTACCCATTCTGGACAACAAGCTTCCCTTCCCCTGTGCGGGCAGGTCCTCCCTGCTTCTTGGCCTGGCAGAAACCTAGTGATGCTGGGGAGTCTTCCCTCTCCCACCTGTCTCAGAAGATAAAACCTGATTGGCCAAGCAGCCGGGTGGGCCTGCTGCCCTGGTCTGTGATTGGCTCAGGAGTGAGGATATGGACTTAGGCCTACCCAATAAAATGTCAGGTGGGTTGCTCAGAGGCTTCTGGGAGTTTCCCTGGTCTTAAAAAGAGGAAAGAGAAGAAACTGCCCTTTTCTTCCCCTCTAGTGTGGTACATGGGCCTAATGCCTGTGAGCTGGGCAGTGGTCACCCACCAGAACAGCCTGGGCTGGCATACAAAGGTGAAGAACGTGGCATCGGGGTGTCCTTAAGCTTCTGAATGTCCCCAAAAATCTGCTTTGGGGCACTTTGAGGATCTTGATTTCTGTGTGCAACAGGTCCAGTTAGGTTTTTCGTTAGCTGTAGCCAAAAGCATGCTAACTCATACCTCCCATAACTCTCTGCCCTTCTCCAGAGGTAGCCCGGGGTATGTTCTGCTAGTCGTTTTCTGGTGCATTTACATACATACATTTATGTGTTTTAAAAACAGAACTCATTCTATGCATAATATTTAGTGACATTTAAAAAGAACAACACTGTGGCATTGAGACGTCTTTGCTTCATGACTTCCCATCTACTTCTTTATTTTCAAAGGCTGCAGAGTATTATTCAGAAGGGATGGGAAATAACTTAGTTCATTCCTATTGATAAACGTTTTGTTTCCATTTCTTCACTGCCAACCGTGTGTTTATTAACTTCCTTATCGGTATATCTTTGTGTACACTTCAAGTTTTTCTAGGTCAAGGATTACTAGGAAGGGATTTCTGGGTAAAAAGATGCATCTGTTTGAAATATTGATAGATGCTGCTTAATAGACAACCAAAAGAGCTGCCCCTTTGAATTTCTCCCATTTGGTATGTAAGGATGCCTCATCTCCATCTTAACTAATGCTATGTATTATCCACTTTCCAAGTCTTTTCTGGGCATTTTCACATGCTTGAGATAATACTGCTTACAAATCTTATTCTGGTTGCTTCCCTTAATCTGAATATAAGCATTTATTTCCCTAGTCATCAAAAATCACATGTAAACATAATTTTAATGACTACCTATACAGTCATCCCTCAGTGTCCA